TTTTTAGAAAAGATTTGTTTTATTAATGTTTGCATGATATTAAAAAAATTGTTTTCAAATTTAGAAGCTTGACCCCATTCTTTTTTTTTTTTTTTTAACAGAGGGGGGCAGCACAAAAACGGGTGAACAAGATGGTTTGATAGGCACAGCTATGAATTGTGTGCTTCAGGTTCCAAAGTTCCTACCTCAAGAACAGAGATTTGATATTCGGGTGTTGGTAAGATAGCATTCTTTAAACTAAGAGTAGTAAAAAGACCCTTTGTTTCATTAATATAAAGAATGAGTTTGCCTTAGTCTTATGTGTATTGAACTGCTTCAGTTTTTCATGATGACAGCCATATTCTAAAGTTTTTACTGAGCTTTTTCTCAAGAAGATGTCACATTGAAGTCAATGGAAGCATTACCTGTGTATGGTCTGAGAAAACACTGTTTAATGACAGGTTTCAGAGTAGCAGCCGTGTTAGTCTGTATCCGCAAAAAGAACAGGAGTACTTGTGGCACCTTAGAGACTAACAAATTTATTTGAGCATAAGCTTTCGGATGCATAGAAAGGAACACACAGAAAAGATATTTATACATACAGAGAACATGAAAAGGTGGGAGTAGCCATACCAACTGTAAGAGGCCAATCAATTGAGATGAGCTATCATCAGCAGGAGAGAGGGGAAAAAAACCTTTGAAGTGATAATCGAGATGACCCATAGAAGGTGTGAGGATATTTTAACATGAGGAAATAGATTCAATTAGTGTAATGACCCAACCATTCTTAAAGCATTCTTAAAACTACAATACCCACCTGCTGAAGTGAAAAATCAGATTGACAAAGCCAGAAGAGTACCCAGAAGTCACCTACTACAGGACACGTCCAACAAAGAAAATAACAGACCGCCACTAGCCGTCACTTTCGGCCCCCAACTAAAACCTCTCCAGCGCATCATCAAAGATCTACAACCTATCCTGAAAGATGATCCCTCACTCTCACAGATCTTGGGAGACAGACCAGTCCTCGCTTACAGACAGCCTCCCCAACCTGAAGCAAATACTCACCAGCAACCGCACACCATGCAACATAAACACTAACCCAGGAACCTATCCTTGCAACAAAGCCCGATGCCAACTCCATCCACATAGCTATTCAAGTGACACCATCATAGGACCTAATCACATCAGCCACGCCATCAGGGGCTCATTCACCTGCACATCTACCAACGTGATATATGCCATCATGTGCCAGCAATGCCCCTCTGCCATATAAATTGGCCAAACCAGATAGTCTCTACGCAAAAGAATAAATGGACACAAATCTGACATCAGGAATCATAACATTCAAAAACCAGTGGGAGAACACTTCAACCTCTCTAACCACTCAATGACAGACTTGAAGGTGACAATTTTGCAACAAAAAAACTTTAAAAACAGACTCCAAAGAGAGACTGCTGAACTTGAATTAATATGCAAATTAGATATTGAACAGAGACTGGGAATGGTTGGGTCATTACACTAATTGAATCTATTTCCTCATGTTAAAGTATCCTCACACCTTCTATGGGCCATCTCGATTATCACTTCAAAGGGCTTTTATTTTCTCTCTCCTGCTGATGATAGCTCATCTCAGTTGATTGGCCTCTTACAGTTGGTATGGCTACTCCCACCTTTCCATGTTCTCTGTATGTATAAATATCTTCTTTCTGTGTGTTCCATTCTATGCATCCGATGAAGTGGGTTTTAGCCCACAAAAGCTTATGCTCAAATAAATCTGTTAGTTTTTAAGGTACCACAAGTACTCCTGTTCTTTTCACTGTTTAATGACTTAAGGATTTGGTGCCTAAACATTACCCAAATCATGAAAAATAAGAATTTCAGGAGTAACCAACGCTGCATTTGAAGGAATAAATTTGGCACTGTAAAAGGATTTTTAAGGTGCCCATTGTGACTACATGTAACAAAGCTTTTAAAAATTAAGTCAAACTCTGTTTAAAAAAAAAAAATTCTGGGCATTCTATGTGCGCACAGACAGATGTTTGACAGTACAAAGTGAGAGTTTAGAATGAAATGGGAGCCCTGCAGTACAAAATCTTTGTTGAAGAAGTAATCCATATATATTTAATGTGGTAAAAATCCACTGTTAATTGGGTGAACAAGAGACATCATCCTAGCCTCACTTTAGAAGAAAATAGCTGTCTCATTTCAGTGTCCATTCTAGTTTAGAAGTACAGTATATGTAATAAGTTTGGGACAGGGTTTGTTTGAATCTACTTTGCTTCTCTTTTGACAGTACTGAAGTAAATCTATGTGGCATAAATTGCAAAAGATAAAATGAATCGGCCAAGTTTTTCAAAAAAGTGAACCAAAAGTTAGGCTCCTAAATCTCTATTATAAATAAGGGGCCAGAGCTTCAAAAGTGTTGAGAGATGTTTTGTACTCCGCATTCTTGGAAAATCTGGCCATTTATTCGGGTGCCTAAAGATGGGGATGTTGGAACTTAACTTCTGATTCTATTTTTTTTTTAAATTCGGCCATATTCTGTACATCAGACCATTTGATAAAGGAGTGCCCATACCTTGGTGAGCACCACACAGATACAGTATAAAAATGGTATTTATCAGATGTACTGATGAATAAGATTCTTTTTGTTTTGGATTCTTTTTTTCTTCATTGTATATAATCTTCTTTGACTTTGATTCTTCCAGGGCTTGGGTCTGCTGATCAATCTGGTAGAGTACAGTGCTCGGAATAGACACTGTCTTGTCAATATGGAAACATCATGTTCTTTTGATTCATTCTGTTCAGGAGAGGGGGATGATAGCATAAAGATAACTGGTCAGATTGATGCTGTTCATGCTTTAGTACAGGTAAGTAGCCACTTTAGTTGCAAAACAGTTCTCCGTGTAATATTAAAGTTACTTGCTTATGGCGGAAATGTGTGTTAACAAGTGGCAGTGTCATGTCAAAGGTTTTTAATTCCTGTGAACCTTACAAAATACAGAACCTATTGTGTTTTTCCCCCCATAGCTTTCACTTAGTTATCCAGTTACAATTCAGTTTTTTCAGTGCCCAGTGCAGAAGCGGTTTTCCATTTAAAGGACAGTAGTACCATTATTTCTGACACCTGAAGGCTGCTTTGATTCACACTAAAGCTTTTTTTGCGTCCAATTTATTTCTAGTTTTCTTTAAACCCGCTGTAGTTCTAGTACAAATATCTTGAGCTACATTTGTCTTGCATACCTCCTTCCATGAATGGCTTTTCAAAATTACATCTTTATTGAATTTTAAGAAATTTACTTTGACATAACATGTTGTTTATCAATATATACCAGGCATCACAACAGCTTCAGGATATCAGTTTCAATGCATCAGGATGTGCAGATTACTCCATTGATTATCACATTGACTAAATCATAAAAACAAAAAAAGACATGAATTATTCCATTTTGAAACAGGCTCACACTCTATATTGGCTTATCAGGCACAAACTGGAGTTGAAGTAGCTAAATGGATTTTAATTCACACCTTTAATTATTTCAGTGCTAGTCTGTGTGTGGATACTCTTATTTTGGATTGAGTGAGTGATTGTAATTAAACTGAAACAGGACAATCTGAAAGAAATGTCCGTATGCAGACTTCCTCTGAAATTACTAAAGGTGTGAATTAAAACCCATTTATCAACTTCAGCTCCAGTTTGTGATAGATAAGTGTACAGGTACCTAAGGAAAGTGAAGTGTATATGTTGCGATAATTTGAGGTCACTTTCAGATTTTTGCTGTTTCTTGCAGATTGATATTTTTTCCCAGTTGTGAAACTGAAGTCACAATTTTGTTTTATTCAGAAACCTGTAGTGTGTCATGTGTGGGTATACTACAGATACAACTAGGGTGACCAGATGTCCTGATTTTATAGGGACAGTCCCGATTTTTGGGTCTTTTTCTTATATAGGTACCTATTACCCTCCACCCCCTGTCCCGATTTTTCATATTTGCGGTCTGGTCACCCTAGATACAACAGACATCAGTTATCAAAGTACTACACAGAGTAATAGACAAGAACAATGCCTAAATATACACCTCTTTGCAAAGGGCTGCTCAAAAAGGTGTTCTAGAAGTTAACAAACTCAGAATTGAAGTACAAAGAGGGAGCTTACCACTTATCCATCAGCGCCAGTACAGAACTTTTTAATTGATCTTTGTTGCTCTACTCATGCATGGAGTGGATCATTTTGGAGAGCTGGAGAAACTTAGGAGAGGGACAAAAAATTAGCATAAAAATAAACTAAAACAGGAATTGGGAGGGAACAAAAAATAGAGATTACAGGAAAAAGACTATGAATTTATAGGGTGTAAAAGGAAGGGTGGAGGAGAACAGGAAAATAAGTTAAATGCAGATATTCCTATAAGAGTAATATCATCCTGAACATTTTACAAATGAAAAGTGCAGTTTGGGTATTCCGGTATCTCAAAGAAAAATTTGTATTTGTTATTCAGGAAAATGTTTCTAACTCAAATCATGATATTAACTTGTATTTTTATCCTTCAAAGCGGTGAATCGGGTTGCCTTTGATCTTTACCAGGGGGCATTCCACCCTTATTTGTCATGAAATCTGTATAATCCTTTTAAAAAGAGGATAATGATCATAGAATTGTGGGACTTGATGGGACTTCGATAGGTCATTTAGTGCAGGCCCCTGCACTGAAGCAGGACTAAGTATTCTCTAGACCACCCTTGATGTCTTTGTCTAACCTGTTCTTAAAAACCTCCAGTGATCTTGTTCCAGTACTTAACTACTCTTGAAGTTAGGAAGTTTTTCCTAATGTCAAACTTAAATCTCTCTTGCTGCAATTTAAGCCCATTGCTTCTTGTCCTGTTCTCAGTAGCTAAGAACAGTTGTTATCCTTTTCTTTGTAACAACATTGTATGCACTTCAAGACTTTATCAGTGCTAAGTGGAGTGGGAGAATTACTTCTCTCCTGTCTTGCTTACAACACTCCTACTAACATCCCAGAATAATGTTTGCTTTTTTGCAACAGTATTGGATTGTTGAGCCATATTTAGTTTGAACCAGTATCCCACCCAGATCCTTTTCTGCAGTACTTCTTGCTAGGCAGTCATTTCCCATTTTGTATTTGTGCAATTGAATATTCCTTCCTAAGTGTAGTACTTTTGCCTTTGTCCTTATTGAATTTCATCCTGTTTAATTTAGACCACTTCTCCATCTGTCAAGATAGTTTTGAATAATAATCCCTTCCTCCAATGCCATTAGTAAGACTAATATTGAAGAATAAAACTATGGGAAGGTGTGTACATGGGAAGGGGAAATTACATTTCAGAATATTAGTGTATTGTTTAGGGTTTGGCCTATAACTGAATGTCTCCTCAAATTTTCCTGCCAGCTATTCCTTGAGCGTGAACGAGCAGCACAGCTGGCAGAGAGCCAGACAGATGAGTTGATCAAAGAAGCTCCTACTGCACAGCATGATAAGAGTGGAGAATGGCAAGAGACGAGTGGAGAGATTCAGTGGGTCTCCACAGAAAAGGCAGATAATACTGAAGAGAAAGATAAGAAGGAAGAGGATGATGAAGAACTTGACCTTAATAAAGGTATATCAGTTGGCTTTGGTCAGCTGAAGGGAGGGGAGGAACTGTGTGATTGCAATATAGCTGCCTCTGTAGTGAAGATTGCATAAGAGTTTCCATTTTACTCTCCACTTTCCAGTGATGTATAATCCCTTGGGCTGAAGTGTCCTCAGCTTGGTGTCTATCCACATGTGAAATTTCTGAAAAGTTTTGAACAAAGCATTTCAGTTGCTGTGGAGTATGAGGAGTGAAGGAAACAATTAATACCCTTTTCACTTTGTTGGATCCTGTCCTCAATTCAGATTATTTCCTAAAGCCTTTGTTTCACTTACACATTAATACAGTAATGTTTCGTACATAATGTTCTGATGGCCATGTGCACACTTGCCTGAGCTTATTGTTAAACTTGAAATTGGTTTGTCTTTCTCTTTTCCCTTTATTTAATAGTCTCTCTCTTCCTTCTCATTTCCCCTATTCTCTCTCCTTTTTGGTTTTCTCACTTCGTTTAGTTTTTCTGCTAATCTCTTTGCCTCTTCCTTAGGTCCCATGTTTATTTCTCTTCCACTGTATTGCATCTCCACATTTCCCTTTTCCTTGATTCCTTTCTATTCCCACAATATTTCTGTATGTCCCTCAGAATCTTGCCTCATCCCTACTCACTTTTTTCCCTGGGTGTCACACCAGACAGTCTTTATCTCTCCCCACCCTCCCAATCCCCATCCACTTACAAATTTTAGCTGCATCTGCATATGGAAATGTTTCAAGGCTTCGTGCCCTCCATCCTTGGGGAATTTCTCCCAGGAGCTCTGGTATCTCCAGGGCCAGGTGGCCATGTACCTGCTCCATCTCTGGAGAATGAAGATCTTCAGATGCACCATCTCCTTTCATTTGCCTGCCCCCCTCCAGCTCATTCCTTCCCCTCCAAACAGATTTCCTGTCTCACTTTTCAGCTCCACTCTCTGCCTGTCTTCCTTGTCTCACCACCTACACCTCTCTGTCCTCTTCCTCCTTTCTGCCCATTTATAGTTTGTCTTCTAGTGCTTGGTCCAAGGTGTGCCCAAAAGTCTTCTCGGTCACTAGCTGGAATATACTATATTAGTAATATTAAAGAAAATACATGAAGGATAACTGACATTTAGATGAGGTTGGAGGGAGGATGGTATATCCTTCCAGGTTCACATGTATTTCGGTGGTGGTGGTGGTGGTAGTGTTTTGTATTGTGTGTGCACCTTACTGGTAGTAGTATTAAGTTTATAATAAAGCTATTTAGAGAGCATAGTGAATAACCCCGATGTTTGGGCCAATATTCCCTCTTGGTAATTAGTTCCAATATCCCAGGCCATGTGAGATTGCTCAGTATGTAATGGCTCCCATGTTTAAGTATACGTTATATTTTGCATATAACTTAGTTTTGTAAAGTCCTTTGAGATACCTTAGCTGTGGAAGGAATTTACTTTCGTTCTACAATAATGTAATTCTTTGAAGTGACACTGAACAATTTAGATATATTTCTAATAAGAAAAGAAACTACTTTGTAAATTGTATGTACTGTGTAAGCAATTTCTCTTACTTTTGCAGCCCTTCAACATGCTGGGAAGCACATGGAAGACTGCATCGTGGCCTCGTACACAGCACTGCTTCTGGGCTGTCTCTGCCAGGAGAGTCCAGTAAGGAAATGAGTCAATGACTCATTCTAAATTGGTTGTAAATGTTCATTGAAGTAGCCACTTGCAGTCATGAAGTGTTTTTGCTGAGTTAGGTTTTTGTGTAAGTTTACTCTGTTGGGAGGGTCATGCTGGCGCATATATAGCTCAGCGCAAGGTTTGCAGTAATATTCCATTCTAAACTGGTCTTCACTTACTATATATTTTTAGTGCAATAATAATTGATAATATTGCAGGCTGGTTTTTCTTGTGTTTAGTCTCAGCCCATTGCTGAATTTATTCTGGAAAAGAAAATTGGCGAAAATGTTTTATAATTATAAACTCACTGTGTTTCAGTAGTTTCTATATTAGCTAAATGTTAGTTTTTCATATTGTTCCATCATAGTCCAAGGAATTTCATTTTTGCCAGTGATTTTTAGAATGCCAAATTTGTACATGCCCGCATTCTTTGAAGATGATTGTTTCCCAGTCTTATAGAAGTATTCTTCAGAGCTAAAATTTAAAATTTAGGAATTCAGAGTTCTAAATATAAATAAAAATTTAGTACTGCATAAGCTCAGTTGTGTTCAGAAAGAAAAGAAATAGGTGATTTTTTGACTAGGTGTCAGACTTGTCAAGATATACAGTGAGTTTAGATATGGTCTGAAGAGCACTGTTCTGCAGCTTCTTGCTGATTTATTATATAATTATCAGTTCTGAAACAGTGACAAGTGCAAGGTCAGTATTTCTCAGCCCTTAAGGAATAGAAATATTATTCCACTGGAAAGGACAGTTCTCACCCTGTCAGTAGGATACTTTTGTCTATCTCTTTAGCCTTCAAGAATCCTGGGCAGTCTGACTTGACTTAAAATGTTACATATAAAAACCTGTAGCAGCTTCTGTGGCTAGAGGGCTTAGTCGTGAGAAGTCATCCTTGGGACTCCTTTGCCAATGGGAATTGTGGGGAAATCTTATGCGTAGTGAGAGACTTCAAGTGTAGAAACTACAGCAATAAGCAGCTCAGAAAAATGTTGGTGGGCAGGGAGGAAATACTGTTACACCACACATACAGACCTCTAATGTTAATTGCAATGCTCAAAAAATGTTTTGTAACTTAAAAGAGATGTTTGACTTCCTCAGATCAATGTGACAACTGTGAGGGAATACTTACCTGAAGGGGATTTCTCAATAATGACTGAAATGCTCAAAAAATTTCTCAGTTTCATGAATCTTACTGTAAGTATTACATATTTTTAAGATTGCCAGATGTTACTTTTTGACCTTTAAACTGCTCTTTCATTTCCTATCTCATACACTTGTGATATTAATATTGATGAAAGCTTTCCAGCACTTCTGCTAGTCAGCTCTGTTGTGCGGGGGGGCGGGAGGGGGGGGTTGATATCTTCATTTTTAATACAGAATGTCCATTTGCCAACCCTTTATTTTGCTAGTAAATGGAAAGGAAACCACTTCCTTATTCCCCTTTGAATATGACCAGTCAATGGAAAATATTTCAGAACCACAGCCTAAAGTACATTTTGTCTTACTAAAATGTGCGTTCTAAATTGAGCAGAGCTTTTTGAGATTTTTATAATGTGTCATAAATGCTTTTTTTTGTTGTTCTGTTTTCTATTGCTTGTTTTCAGTGTGCTGTTGGAACAACAGGCCAGAAATCTATCTCTAGGGTGATTGAATACTTGGAACACTGCTAGATACTTAACTTCCGCTGCAGGCACTCTAATGTTGGAGCTACCCTTAGACAAAGGAAGGAATCATGAAAGAAGTCCTTGAAGATACACCAAGACCATTCATCTGTGTCATTCGTGTTCAGATTTTTAAGGCTACCTGGTCTCGTAACCATGCATTCAGCATTTTCTAAAAGACAGTTACTACATCAATCTGCAACTATCAAAAATGAGGGGAAAAGGTTCTGAAGAAAATAAATATAGAATCAATGCAGTGCAGTATTTAAATATTTTTGGCAGGGTTTACCCTCCCTTTTTTTTTTCCTGCTTCGTTCATGACAAGTTTAAAGGGGAAAAACTTGCTGCTGATAGTGCAACTGCTGTTTACTGTTGAGCCACTGTTTCATGCCAGCCAGGTGCAAGGCAGCTTAGCTACTGAGGTATCAAACAAATGTTCTAATAAAGAAGTTCTGGACAGCAGTATCGCTCCTATTTGAGTTTAATTTGCTCTTGCTTTTTTGTTACGCGATTATTCCAAAATCATAAAATATAAATTTTTAAATACTTTGGTGATTTTAACTACTGTCTATATTTAAAATTGTTGGAATCCAAAGAGGCAAGGATTGGATTGTTTATATTTTTGTACTGTTTTGATTGAAATTAGGTGGTTGAACTACTTCTCAGTTCTAAAACTGTCATGGCCCATATACTGTAAGCTGATAGCTGAGTCGGAGA